TGCACATTCTATAGACCTTATATTAAAGGTGCTCTGTGAAACTGTGTCAGGTCAAATCTGTGGAGAGGAGAGCCCGCCCACAGTAAAAGAGAGAAAGATTTACTGTCAGAACATCCACCAGAAAAATTAGAGTATAAGAAAAGTAAAACAAGTCAAAGTGGAAACAGCTTAAGCCCCGAATCTCCTGATACTTTCACTTACACCTTTTGGCCAGCAGATGTCAGTGTGCACCACTAAATAAGGACAAGGTGAGAATCAACTGAATTCAGAATCTGTTTTAAATGAGTCATTTCACTGTTTTAAATTGACTTAAAGATCGAGTTTATTTACACTTTTCAATATATTTTCATTTCAGCATTTTTCTTATTCTAAATGTGACTGGAGCACATTGGGAATATACAGTCTATGGAAAATAACATTCATAAATCATAATTATTATCACGGTCTAATAATACAACAAAAAAGGTTAATAACCATGTAATAATAATATAATAATGTGCTGTCATTAAATTATTAAACTGTATGTAAAATTTAGATTTTAAATTTCATCAACTTGACTGTGTGAACACTCCTGACTGCACCAGACTACAGAGGGACAGATAATACTCCCTACAACTGTACAACAACTCACTCTTATGGAACAGATAATACTCCCTACAACTGTACAACAACTCACTCTTATGGAACGGATAATACTCCCTACAACTGTACAACAACTCACTCTTATGGAACGGATAATACTCCCTACAACTGTACAACAACTCACTCTTATGGAACGGATAATACTCCCTACAACTGTACAACAACTCACTCTTATGGAACAGATAATACTCCCTACAACTGTACAACAACTCACCCTTATGGAACAGATAATACTCCCTACAACTGTACAACAACTCACTCTTATGGAACGGATAATACTCCCTACAACTGTACAACAACTCACCCTTATGGAACAGATAACCTTATGTCCTGTATGTAGCTGTATAGAGATTTTTTTAATTATTTATTTTTCTATTTTATTTGGACTTGTACATTTACATTTATATAATTATGTTTTATTTGACACCTGTCTCTTTTTTGCTTCTTATTTAGAATTTATTTTCACCATTTATATTTTTTATCTTTGTTGTTCTATTTTATTGTGATGTGTGACTCTTGTGTCCAAATCATTTTTCTTGTGGATCAATAAAGTTTGTTTAAATCTAAAGTCTAAAGTCAAGAGCTTTTATTTAAGTAAAAGAGACTCTCTGATCGGAATTTATTATTTAAACAAACACTCACACAAACACACACAATCTGTCAGTACAGCACAGTCCACACACTGCTCACACATGCTGACCTTTGACCTCTGTGTGTGTCCTCAGATCAATATGACCTTGTGTCTGGAGTTTAGAGCCATCGACATCACACACATACACACACACACACACACACACACATACACACACACACACACACACACACACACACACACACACACACACACACACAACCATATCACTTTTGTTTCTGGTTCTGATATTGTCATATTTTAGTTTTGGGATTGGGACATTGTAATTGTGTGGTTGTTGGATCCAAACAGCGGAAAACGACAAGAAAAATGTGTTTGCGAACTCCAAAAATGCAAAAGGGAATCAGATGTGTGTGACTCAAACCTCTGTTCAAACTGTTTCTCTTCCCAACAGAATTGAAAAATAGTGAAAGGTGAAGGTGATGGGCAGGATTGATCCACAGGAAAGACGAAAAAGGAAACATTTGACTGACTAAATCATCTCGAGTTTACAGAGAACATTTTGTATGTGGAGCCATCAAAGCAGGATCCTGTTTGTTACAGAAGACAAACAGACTGAGCTGCACTTTCTTGTTCTTGTGGTTTTACAGAAACATCACGTCTTGGTCTCTTTGCAGTGGAAGGTTTTTCTTGGTGAACAGTTGGTGCCTTTTGCTTTGGCGTTGACTTTTAAATACGTAACCAAGTTGAGCGAGGGATCGGGATCCCACTTTGATGGTGCTCCACATACAAACTCAGGATGATTTAGTCAGTCAAAGGTTTCCTTTTTTGTCCTTCCTGTGGATCAATCCTGCCCATCACCTTCACCTTTCACTATTTTTCAATTCCATTGGGAAGGAAAACAGTTTGAACAGAGGTTTGAGTCACACACATCTGATTCTCTTTTGTATTTATGAAGTTCACAAACACATTTCTCAAGCCATTTTCCACTGTTAGGATCCAACAACCACACAAATACAACATCTGAATCCCAAAATTAAAATATGACAATATCAGAACCAGAAACAAAAGTGATATGGTTCAAAAGACTTGAAAAGATCGACTTTGTCAATAGACACATCCCACTGGGAAAACAAACATGGCGGTTTCATGCTTACTATTTTGGAGAATCCTTCCCAGTATGAAGTTGTGCAATGCCGGAAGTCTGAGATTCTTGATGTGTCTATAGGCTTCCCCACAGAAGTAAAATAGACCCCCCTCATTAACAGGAACCAAAACATGTCTAAATTTCAATGAAAACCCGTTATATGCATTTTAAAATAGCCTACATTTAGTCTAAAATGTCATGCTTTGTCAATGAACTGTATGAGGAGATCCCTGGTTCTGTGGAAGTCACTCCTGCTCCTTCCTGCTATAAGGAAAACGACATCTACAACCTGGTCTCATTGCCCACTCAACAGCCACAGGCAAAGTAACATTCAAGAAATTACAAAAAGACTGACAAAAACAAGAATGGCGTCATGGGCAAAACATGCTGACATGTTTGGCCAATAAACTGATAAAAACGACTCTATATGTGCTTCTATCCTCATCTTTTTATTTCATACTAGTGTTTGTCAGTAGCGATTCATTTTACATTACACTTGTTACATTTTACCTTCCTGTGAATGTACCCACTGAACATTCCAATGATATTCAGCTCTATGTGGAATTTCATCACCAACCGAACCACCAGAGAGGTACTTTCTGGGCACCGTGGGTTGAATCTCTCTCTTCTTTCTTGTGTACTCTTTAAAGGGCCCATGTTATTGTGGCAACCGAGGGGTTAACACTCCGGGAAATGTTAAGCTTTATAATAAGTTGCTGCAACAACGCCACCCCAAATCTAGTTTGGGGAAATAAAGTCTAAATGTAAGGCACAGGTAAGCATATCATTGAGGGAGAGAGCCAGGTTCCATCATTTACACAATCTTTATTTTCCTCTATTTTTAAAAGACAGTTTTAGGTTATTTAAAAGTAGCTACATTCATAAAAATAGGCAAACAGTAAAACACTACAGTGGAAGAACAGGTACACAATATTGAAAATACTCAACGAAACCCCAAAGCCAGAAGTAAAACAAACCAAAAATAAAGCAAAGCAAGACAATGAAGCAAAAGCTAAACAAAACAGCAGTGAAACAAAACAGCAGTGAAACAAAATAAAGCAAAACAAAACAGCAAAACAAACGTAAAACAAAAGAGCAGAGGCGGTGTGCTCACGCCGCTGCAGGCCCCCGCTGACACCTAGAAAATTAAGTTTTGGGATTAAAATCTGAGCCTGCAGTGCAAGGATCTGGGCTAAACACATACCGTGGTTGAAAGTGACAGTGCGCAATCCCCAGGCTGAATCAAAGGCAACTCTACACAGAATAAGTGCGTCCAGACGTGGTCCAAACAACATGGACCGGCACACGCTATAAACATACAATTTAGAGAGTTGTTTGGCACAGGCAGCACGTGGTAGAAGGGTTTTGGTTTCCTGCCGCCGCGGTTTAAGGGATACGGCGGCGCACAGCCAAGCGCAATGGCGAGGGACTCACTACCTACATAGCAAAAAATACGCAGAACGGATCCACAACGGAGTTCACTTGCACATCGCCGCGGATCCGCAACGGATCCGTCGCGCGGATACGCAGCGGATCAGCCGCGCCTCCGCCGCGGATCCGGGCTTATTTTGACGGATCCGCTGCGTATCTCGCGGATCCGCCCGGGACCCGTTTTGGATCCGCTTTCAGAACCGGGTTATCTGCCGCCGATCTGTTTATTGTGTCGTTAGGAGCCTAAATATGTGTGTCAGCTTCTCCTGGAGGCAGCCTGAACAGAGGATCTTAAGAAAGAGGCTTGGAGAGTTAGAACAGTTCTCAGACATGTCTCTTTACTGGTTCAGGCAGGTTCAGGTCTCAAGATTCAAGTTGATTCAGCAGGATTCTGCCTACGCGGCGTCTCTCTGTGCGTCGGTCGTCCCTCGACAACGCAGTCGACGTTCCCCAACTCATGCACAGAAAAACTGGGTCCTTTTATACCAGCAGAACTGTTGAGTTCACATCTTCATGGAAACATACACAGCACTTTTGTCCCAACACGTGTCCCATCACAGACTGGCAGATGCTAAAGGATGGAGACACACCCCTTATCTTTCCCATATACATTCACCGTCCATATGACATCATATCCCAACCCCACTGACACTCCAAAGTCCAGAAACATACACAGCATATTATTGTACACAGGCATTCAGTACAGGGCGAATTAACATAAATGAAACTTTAAAAACACAGGGAAGAAGCCCACATATGCTTCAGATTTAATACTGATCCACTTCTGACCTAAATACACACCAGCAGCATTTGCATTGTAATTGTACATAAACCTTTTACAGCAAGTATTAAAACTGAGATAAAAAGGCTTAAATTTAAAAACTTAAACAATTTCAAAGTTGGATCAATGATATCCTATCACTAAATCTCATTAGTTAAGAAAAAAAGAAACATTTGTTTACATTGTAAACAATATTTATTTAAATCATTAATTAGAAATCTTAGGACATGAATAATTATTATTAATGTTATAGGACTTATATACCCTTTGAGTTAACCAATGCTTTATTCTTAATATGAAAATGACAATTTACAGTTTTTACTAAAAATAGTTCAAGTTAAGCAAAGTTTTAGGTTTTTTTTTAATGGCAAAAAACAAATATAAGCGATATGAGTAAAAGCCTGGACAGATGAGTGTAGCCAAACCATACAGTTCAAACTCAAACTGAACTTGTGTTTACCACCACAGAACAATTAGACGGATGGTTGTTCTTATAGAGTGTGCAGTGTGGGAGCTTCAGAGCCTCTGTCTTTAGCTTCAGTCTGAGGCAGAGGTTTTGAGGCAGAGGTGTAGTGAGTCTGGCTCCTCTTCAGTCCTACTGGTGAAGATCCAGTCTGTCAGTGTCCAGGACTGGACTTCCCCTTTCTCACAGCATCTGACATGACACCAGTGTGTATTAAACACCCCATTACACCTCTTATTCTTGTAAGGAGTTAGAGTTCAGGTTTGTGAAGAACATTGTAAGTCATGACAGTGGCTGTGTGATTTGAACATGAAAGGTAAACACTTGATTGGAGAAATCTATGCACTTACAGAGGGTCAGTCTGTAAACTCCACCACAGCAGGTTCTGAAAGAAACAATCTGCACAACAACAGGTGTGATTATAATGTGCATATGTTTAGTTATGAAAGTGAATAAAAGTAGGATAATACAGTAAACTTACAGAGGGTCTGTCTCTACATTTTTGGAACTTGGCCCAGCAGAGGGAATTCTGTAAAACATCAAATAAGAGAAACACAAATATCAGTTTGGATCATTTCAGGCCCCAGTGTTTAACACAAGTGCAGTATTTACCTCCAGAGGGTCTTTATCAGGCTGTTCTGTCCATCTTCTTATTAACCATAGTATATCCTGAAACAGAGATGAAAAACATGATTTAACTCACAGGAAATACTTTAGCGCAGTAAAACTGAACTCTTTTGTTTTAGTTTGAGCCTGAGTATGAACATGAGACGTATTTCACTGCTGTTAATACACAATACTCTACTACATTTACTTTTACCACAACATTTAAAATATAATAATCAATTTATGATGGTGTTCATAGTCAATATCAGTGTAATATAGATGTGACACATTAGTTCATGTCAACATCTCTCACTGAAAGTCTGAAGCACCGTCTCAAGTCCCAGAACAGAAAGTTAGAGACAAAGTCAGATCTGGCTCCAAACTAAATCTTCACTGTCACAGAAATCATTAAAAGTACTTACTTCTGATCAGCGTGCCGGGCTCCTGATGGAGACACTCAGCAGAAGGACAGGGGCTCCTGATGTCATCTGGGGAAAAACAACATAAGTTTTGGTTGGTTATCTAACGTTAGCAGTTGTTAAAAGTTGTGCTTTTTATCGGCTCACCCGTGGAGCTAAGGAGAGACACCGGTAAAAGTATGGGCATGGATGAATGAGTGGAGGAGTATCGGGCGTGCATTACCTTGTCAGCGGAGATGAAAGCGCGCCCTAGGTGCTCCGTGATTTGGAGGAGCGAGGGACTGATGCGGGGCAGAGCACCGGCCAAGCAGCGGCCAAACAGCGGCACTAAAAGGAGACGTGACTGGAAATTGGGATGTAACGGGCATGGAATTTACGAAATGGAAGTTACCTGAGCTGGAGGACAGAGCGGCCACAAGGACAGGCCCGGAAGAGCGTGTGAGCCAAAAGGGGGAACGACTGAGAAGGGAGCGCTTAAATAGGCCACCAGCGCAGCGCCACGGAACGCCAGGTAAGAGCACCTGCAGCCCAGACCCTCAAAGCCGGTCTTGCCACATTATGCAAAATCTACTTTTCAGAGCTTTCTACCTTCTAAGAGTGATGTGTGGGCCTTGTATATGTCGCCGAAGTGCGCGGTCGCCGTAGCAACGTGATGTTCTAATGCCGCCCTGGATCTCCATGGTGATAGAACTCTGCTTTATGACGTCAGAGAAGCATGACGCTGCTTTAAAGTAAACTTTGAGTGAAAAACAACACTAAACGTTCAACATGTTAAAAGCTTCCACAAGAGCAGACGACCTCCCTGTTGCCATGGTTTCCATCTAATATTAATACAGATGAAAAAGTACATCGTAATGGGAAAATGATTTAGCTCCCCTCTTGGACAATGACATCACATTCTAGAATTTAAAATAGTTTTGGAGCCTGAGAAGCTGTCGCCGTAGCAACGTGATGTTCTAATGCGCCCTGGATCTCCATGGTGATAGAACTCTGCTTTATGACGTCATCAGAGAAGCACGACGCTGCTTTAAAGTAAACTTTGAGTGACACAGTGAAATAAACACTAAAGTGACAGAATACTTTTACAACTGGTACTTCAAAGCAGCGCTCTTCGTTGTTTTGTTGTACAGGGAGTCCTGCTGAGTCTCTTGGACACATTGCACTTTGGGGCTTTAACATCATCATATTTAAAAGCTTTTTTGTTATAATTCTGAGCAGATGCTTAAGCTAACCCGTAAATCTACCCTAACCCTTATCCTAATCCTAACCCTTATCCTAATCCTAACCCTAACCTTTATCCTAAACCTAACCCTAACCGTTACCTCTAAACATACCCCTTACCCTACACCCCCCCACCCTACCCCTCACCGTATCCCATCACCTCAGCGTACCCAACCCCCTCACCGTACCCCACCCCCTCACCGTACCCCACCACCTCACCGTACCCCACCCCCTCACCATCACCTCACCATACCCCCTCACCATACCCCACCCCCTCACCCCCATCACCTCACCATACCCCACCCCTCACCATACCCCACCCCCCACCCCCTCACCATACCCCACCCCCTCACCATACCCCACCCCTCACCATACCCCACCACCATACCCCACCTCACCATACCCCACCCCCTCACCATACCCCCCCCTCACCATACCCCACCCCCTCACCATACCCCCACCTCACCATCCCCCTCACCATACCCCACCCCCCACCCCCTCACCATACCCCACCCCCTCACCATACCCCACCCACCTCACCATACCCACCTCACCACCCCACCCCCTCACCATACCCCACCCCCTCACCATACCTCACCATACCCCACCTCACCATACCCCCACCCCCTCACCCATACCTCACCATACCCCACCCTCACCATACCCCACCCCCTCACCATACCCCACCCCCTCACCATACCCACCCCCCCTCACCATACCACCCACCCCCCACCATACCCACCACCTCACCATACCCCACCCCCATCCCCCACCATACCCCACCCCCTCACCATACCCCACCCCCCTGATCATACCCCATCACCTCACCATACCCCACCCCCTTACCATACCCCACCCCCCCAACACCCCTAGCCCACCCCCCACCACCACCCCACCCCCTACCACCACCCCCAATCCTAACCCTAACCTAACCCTAATCCTAGCTCTAATCCTAACCCTAAGCCTAGCCCTAAACCTAGCCCTAACCGTAATCCTAATCGTAACCCAAAACCCTAACCCTTTCCCTGACCCTGACCCTTTTTTTGTAAATACTTTGGTTTAAATAATAATTTTGATAATAATAAAAAAGACTGGGGCATGTCCCAGTGGCTCCGCCCCCTCCTCCTCCCTCTACTCCCCCTATCAAATGCACACAGTCTCCTGCTGCCCCCATGGATCTATTCAAAGAGACTGAGCACGAGAAGGAGAAGGTACAATTATTGACAGAAATGGCAGCTCATAAGAGGCGACTGCAAGGCCTCACATCTGAACTGGACACAGTGAAAAAGGAGAGAGATGCACTGATAGTCCAGTCAGATGAACTGAAACACCAGCTTCAGTCTAAAGATAGAGATATTGAGGCACTGCGGAAAGAAGTCGCAGAACTCAAGGCTGAGCAGAGAGTCGAGACGCTGAAAAACATACAGGACACGGAGACACAGATCCAACACATAAATGCCATTATCAGGATGTGTGAAGAGAAGAGATCCCAGGAGTGCAGTAGGAACAGTGTTAAGAAGAAGCCGCTGAAGTCTGACACCGTTTTGAACTGCTATGATGAGATGAATGCCAAGTGCACCAGGCTGGCGAAGAGATGCAGTGAGCTACAGGAGCTACTGAACACCTCACAGGACGAGTGCTCCCTGCTGGCCGAAAAGAACATTGTGCTGCAGCGAGAGGACGAGCAGGAAAAACTTGCCAGAACAAATTTAAATGAAGAGTGTGTCACCATATCGGCAAAATGTAGTGAATTTGGGCAGTTCGCGAGTAGGTTAGAGAACAAGATCCTCTGGCTGGTTAACACAAAGCGTGCACTCGAGCAGGAGGTGGATAACGAGAAACACGGCAGAGCGGAACTAAAGAACAAGATGGCCGCCACGCTGAAGACCTGAAGGCACAGAGCTCCCGGCAGCTGGAGAAATGTAGTGCGCTGGAACAGCAATTGAAGAACATGGGAAGAGCGCTCGGTGCTGATCAAGAGGATAAGTGCACTACAGCAAGAGAAGAAAGAAGAGAAACAAACCAAAACTGTTTCTCTTCAGACTTCAGTGTGTTCAGACTATAAGGAGCTAAGCAGAGATCTCGCGATACAAGTCGACAGATGCAGTGTGCAGAAGCTAATGACAAGTTCGCTACAGGACGACTTGGAGCGGGAAAAGCAAATGAAAAATTATCTTTTAAAGACTTGTGACGAGTTGAACATGAAGCACTTCCAACAGTTTGAGAAATGCACCGAGTTGGAGGAAAAGTAAAGACATACTCAAAGACAGTGCTCCCTGCTGGAGGAGATGAACAACACACTGGTGCAGGAGAGGGACAAGAAAAAAGAGGAAGTGGTACAGGAGGATAATGAGCATCCATGATCTATTAAAATAAGTGGACAGGGTGTTGCTGCTTGTAGCTGCCTCCAGTTGATGTAGTGGCCACTCACTGGAACTTCAGCGAAAAAATCCCTCTGGCCGAGAAAGGATTTTTCTCAGAGAGCGGAATGTGATCTTAAACTGCTTTGTGTTCAGCTGACAGGAACCTACAACTTTTAAAAACGACAGGATTACAGGATTTAAAATGAGATTAGATCAGGGGTCTCCGAACTTTACAAAACAAAAATAGGAGGGAGCTGAGAGTCAGTAAGACGGCCTTAATTGTACATTTAATTAATGAATTATTGTGCGGAATAGGTAAATACTGTTTATTCAGCACAATACGCCTAATTCATAAATCCCTCGGCGAGCTACTTGGACGGGGGTGGAGAGCTACAGGCTGGAGATCCCTGGATTAGACTCACTTTTCCTTTTTTAGCCCAAACATTAATGTGACCCACTGGCCCAAACTAAACACATTCTGACAATTAAAATGTGCAATCTTATTCCCTTAATAAGAAAGGCCTTGATCTGCGAGCTGTGTTTAGGTCGGCTGTTCTCTGCTGCATCAAAAAAAAAAAAAAAAAAAAAAAAAAAAATTGTCTGTCTCACTCTCGTTTCTTTCTACTTCAGGTATGAAAGAGATGTCATTGAGATGGGAGGTTAATAAAAATCAATAAAAATCCTACTATTTATGTTGTTGTCATTTTACGAAAACTGTATGAATATCAGCTTTTTGTTGTTTTGAAGATTTAATAATATTTTGTTTGTGTTGGTTAATGAGAGTTGGCTGTCAATTGTCAAAAAAATTCGATAAAAAATAATTAAATTCAGAATAAAAATGAATTCCACTTTAAAAAGACCATGTAAACACTTAATTCCTGATCAATAATTAAAAAATCCGAATTTATCCCAAATCCATTTTTTAAAGGTACTGTAGCAGTCCAGAGGAAGCAAGTATGGCACATGTGTTTCATTATGTTGAACTTGCGAGAAACTCCGTATCCATTCCAGCTGGAGGCACGCGTGGCAAACATGAAGAGCTCCTCCAAGGACACCAAGGTGTTATTTTCTAAAAATTGACAGATATGAAAATAATCAGCTGAATGTAAACAGTCTCACTCTCTCTCTGTCTGTCTCTCTCACTCTCTCTGTCTCTCTCACACTCTGTCTGTCTCTCTCACTCTCTCTCTGTCTCTCTCTCTCTCACTCTCTGTCTCTCTCTCTCACTCTGTCTGTCTCTCTCACTCTCTCTCTGTCTCTCTCTCTCACTCTCTGTCTCTCTCTCTCACTCTCTGTCTGTCTGTCTCTCTCACTCTCTCTGTCTCTCTCTCTCTCTCTGTCTGTCTCTCTCTCTCTGTCTGTCTCTCTCACTCTCTGTCTCTCTCTCTCACTCACTCTCTGTCTGTCTCTCTCACTCTCTGTCTCTCTCTCTCACACTCTCTGTCTCTCTCTCTCTCTCTCTCACACTCTCTGTCTCTCTCTCTCTCTCTCTCACTCTCTGTCTGTCTCTCTCACTCTCTCTCTGTCTCTCTCTCTCTCTCTCTCACTCTCTGTCTGTCTCTCTCACTCTCTCTCTGTCTCTCTCTCTCTCTCTCTCACTCTCTGTCTGTCTGTCTCTCTCACTCTCTCTCTGTCTCTCTCTCTCTCTCTCTCTCTCTGTCTGTCTGTCTCTCTCACTCTCTGTCTCTCTCTCTCTCTGTCTCTCTCACTCTCTCTCTGTCTCTCTCTCTCACTCTCTCTCTGTCTTTCTCTCTCACTCAATTTGAAAACCCCTGTAATAGAGCAAATTACCTTCACTATCAAGTAGGTCGTCTGCCCAGAAGCTCATGGTTTTGTCCTCCTGGACCTTCCTGTTGCTTCCATTTGGCCTCAGCTCAGGTTGGAACATGTGTTCAACCTCCACAGCAGTTAACCTCTTGTTGACGTGGCAGAGGACATCGGTCAGAACTGAAGGATGCTGTTGTAGAGCCGTTAAAACTGCAAAGTGGCAAGACCGGCTTTGAATCTAAAATACAACAGCAGGATGATAATGTGGTTAATCCTGTAGCATGGCTAGGTGCCTTTTCAGCATTCAAACACTTCAAACACAAAATTTCTAAGATTTTAAGTTTTCTGATATACTTTTCCATAGCCTATTTCTAAGGATAAGTACTAGAAGAGTTTTATGTACACTGTATTTGCTAGTTTGCAGAGATAACACAATAGCCTTTTTTACAATAAACATTTGTTGTTGAAATATAGAAAAAAAAAAAACTGTCAATAGCAGCATGATTCCTGTCGATGATGAACCACCACAGGTAGTCCTTCACAATTATGTCTTTTTCCTCCAATGACTTCACATATCTGAAACACCCAGCAGTTTGCAACATGGCACTGTTCTCTCATATATACATACATACAAAACCTTTCTTTTTACCAACAAAATCTCTGCCCTGGCCTCATACCTCTCGTAGCACTTTCCCTATTTCCTCATCTGTAATGTCTGTTACTGATGACTTGAAACTGGATTTCCCTGAGATGAAGCTGACCAGATCCTCCGACAGAAAATTTGGACCAGGACCACCGTGTACTATGGACAAGGCTATCATCTGGCCGGCAAAATAATATTCATCCCCTCTTATTGCTGCCAGTAGATATGCAAAATAAACAATTATTACATTTGTTTCTATATTTTAAGGCATTGGATGGTTGAATTATGTAGTAGTTTACACAAAATAGAACCTGTTGTATTGTAAACAAGGTAGCGGCTCTCCACAGGTCCATCAAATATGGGTCGTTTGTTCAGCTCTTTCATGAGCAGTGAGAGGAATTCCCTCTTCGGCCCGCCTGTGTCGACACATTCCTCAAACCTTCCAGCATCATCAGAGAACTTAACTAGAAGGTCATAGTTTTCAGTAAATGTTCCCCTTTTGAGTCCCCTAACAGCCCCATCCCAGATGTCAGAGCGACATATGTTAAATCTGCTGACATGTTTATGGTCAATTTGGAGTGTCAGATTTTTTATTATTTCTGAAACTGACAGTAATTCCACCCTGAAACCAAATAGAACAAGACTATTTTTACTTCATAAACATACTGTGTATGGTAAATTACAGCAGATTAATTTAACCACAATAAAACTTCACAATTGTTGAGCAAGTGAGTTCTTACTCTGTATCCTTTGGAATTATCTGGCTGTCCACGTCCACGTCTTCTTCATCCTCAATCACAATGGGTGAATACAACTCAGTGTATTTTCTAAGAAATTAACACACACACAAAAAAAAAACATTTTGGTATTTTTAAATAAATAATATTTGTGATTTGAAAAGTGACGAACAATACCTGTAACTTGTAGTTTCCATCGGAGTTGTTAAATCAGTAGGCAACAGTTCATCATTATTATTTGTACTGTTCAAGACAGGTTCCCATATCTGAGGATAAAAAAAAAAGTATTACTGTGATAC